AAGAAGAAGAAGAAGAAGAAGAAGAAGAAGAAGAAGAAGAAGAAGAAGAAGAAAAAGAAGAAGAAGAAAGCAACAACAAAAACAACACCAATAACACCAAAGCAGTAACAGTAACAACGTTCTATAACATATCTCTCTGTCATGGTTGAAGTATGAATGCACTCGTATGATCAGTTCCTTCTATCAATTTATAGACGATATGACTCACGGTAAAGAGGTGGTTGGCGGGGGCTCCAGTTTAATTTGCTCTTTCTTTCCATCAAACGTCTTAATTTGCTCTTTCGTTCCATCAAACGTCTGTTGTCTTTATTTCTGCTTATTTTCTTTGTATGTCACTATCTAGCATCACCTGTAGCCTACGGCATTAATATCACGACCTATTTAATCGTACGTTGCAGATACTGTAAAAAAAACAAAAAACAAAAAAACACTTTCTGATACTAAACTAAACAGCGGAATATACTCACCTCAGATCCTGACGAAATTTAACCGCTATCGCGATCACTCAACAGAAAACCATAACTCAAAACTCGTAAGCTCTATCTTTTCATGCAGTGGAAAAAAGTCGAGGGGATAACGTAGGGGCTGGCCAGAGGATGAGAAAACGAGGTGGTTGAAAGATAACTGGAAGATTGAAAAAGGAGGGAACGGGTGGGGTTAGGGGTGAGGGTTATCTGTTTTACCTAGTTATGTCTTGCGGTCAGGGCCAAGAGAGAGAGAGAGAGAGAGAGAGAGAGAGAGAGAGAGAGAGAGAGAGAGAGAGAGAGAGAGAGAGAGAGGGGGGGGGGAGGAAAATAAAACAGATGATCATACACCCACGCAGAATGGCAAACAGTAACAAGCAGTTGGCGGGCAAGTAATATAACAGAGAATATTATCAAACAACGTCAAAGATAACAGCAGAAAGTACAGCGTCACAGAAGGCAAAGTCCATGTCTTCCATGGGGAGTAAAAATAGGTTACTGTTAGTTTGATGTTAAAGAGGGAATTATAACAATACAAATTATGATAGAACCATAACAAAAGTAAACTCATAGGGCATTCTATAGGACACTGATATGCGCTAGATAAATCAAATTTATACACACACACACACACACACACACACACACACACATACATATATACACACACACATACACACA